TTCATGTTGCCCCAAAGTTCCCTTAAACTCTTCTTATTTTTTTAAATTCTTTTTTTCTGCTCTAATTAGGTGATATGATCTTCTGCTTCATCTAATCTACTGTTGACTTTTCCAGTGTGTCACTCGTTTTTGATATTGTGATCTTTGTTTCTGACCCTTTTATTAAATGGGTTCTTTGTCTTTTCTTATCCTGTTGAATATCTGAGTTCTTTGAGCACCCTTATAACCTATTTTTAACTCTGGTAGATTGCTTGCCTTCATTTTATTTATTTCTTTTGCTGCATATTTCTTCTGTTCTTTCATTTGGGGCCTATTTCACTGTGTCTTCATTTTGGCCACCTATCTGTGTTTGTTTCTGTGTAGTAGGCGTTAGGTTGATCTGCTGTGTCTCCCTGTCTTGGTAAGATGACCTTAGGTAGTATGTGTCCTGCGAGACCCTTTGGTGTAGTCTCCCTGTTCACCAGAGCTGGTTTCTCCAGGCATGTTATTTTTGTGAGTTATGTGAGCCCTCCTGTTATAGTTGAGCCTTGATTGCTTTTGGCCCATTTGTGCATGGTGTTCACCCTCAGGCTGGCTGGCTGTGAGGCTTGACCGTGACCTCACTGTACGAGCTGCTCTGCAGTTGCTGACCACAATAACAGAATTCACCTCAGCAGGGCCAGGACCACTCTTTGGAGATATGGTGCTTGTGGAACTGATTTGTTCTGCTCTGATGTTGTCTGAAGCCTCCAATTAGGCATGTTGGTTTTGGGGCCTCTTGGGAGGGACTCAGGTGCAGGTCAATGTCAGAGGCTGCCTGTGACTGGCCCTGAACAACCTACTTGGAGCTGCAAAGCGATACACAGTTTGTGGCTGCCTCTGCCAGGCCTGTGTGTGTGTATGTGAGAAGGGCCCAGCTGTGCACCAAGGCCTGCTTCCACCCACACTGATACCAGGGGCTGGTCAGCAAAAGCCCAATGTACCCCGAGGTCCCCCTTCACCTGCTGACTGCCTGTTAGGCTCAGTCACTGAAAGAGCCTCTGGCAGTATGTGAATTGCCTGAGGTATGTTCACAGTGTGCCACACCAGGTTGAGGTAAGTGGTGTTCCCCAGAGTGATACAGATTGGAACTTGGTGCCAGTGCTGGGTCTGAGGCAAAATTCCCAGTGTACACCAAGTCTAGCTGATACCCACTGGGTGCCCACAGACCTTTGTGGTGGCTTGGGGTCTCAGGGAGTCATCAGGAGGAGGCCAGAAGAGTTTTTGGGCTGAAATAGACCAAGAATTGGCCGCGTGAAAGGAGGGCCCTGCACCAGGCGTGTGAGTGAAAAATGGTCCCCACTATAGAGCTACACAACTCAGTCTGTCCCCCTTTCTGGGACCCCCTTGAAAGCCCTAGCTCAGCAGGGCAGGGCTGCTGGTAGTTGGGAGGGTAGGGCTATTGCATTTCCCCAGACTGATGCCCTATGGAAGGGAGTGCTCTATGCAAGAAAGATGGGCAGTGAGGGACTCAGCACAGGTATCCTGGTGGTTATTTCTTTAGCTGTCTCCCTGGAGCAACACAACCAAGTCTCTTCACACACTACTACAGTTTGCTCTGAGCTGCCCTTACTCCATAGGAACCCAGTGTGAGTGGCTACAAACGAGATTTTGTGTGCTGACCCTTTAAGGTGGCGCCTGGGTTTCTAGCAGACTCCTGTCTCTCCCTGGTGGACAGAATCCTACCGATTTTCACAGCCACATGTTATGTGAGCGCCTCTTCCTGGCTTTGGTGCTCTGGGCTGGGGAGCCTGGCATGGGGCATCTTGCTATCAGGAGGATCCCTTGCAGCCAAGATATCCCTCCGGATTCTCACCCACCACACGTGGGTGCGGGGCCAGCCCTTTTCCCATCTCTGCCCTCCTTACCAGTCTCCACGTGGCTTCTGTAAGTCCTTGATTATAAGACTCTGTTCAGCTAGTCTTAAGTTGGTTGTTCAGGTTTATTGTTCTATATTTTAGTTGTAATTCCAGTTGGACCCTGGGTGGAGGTGAGTATAACTTTATTCCATGGCCACCTTGGATCCTCAGTCAGTATCTGTTAACTTAGGAGTAATTAACTTTGACTTTATGAGACCAACTCCTAAAGTGATGGTGGAGTCATTTGACAATGGAGAGGTTATTGTATCTTCCTCTCGCCCTTTTTGGCAGCACCAGGTGCCTGGGGCCTCAAATTCAGAAGTGCACCACGCCCATTCTCAGGCATCCAGACTTTCTTCTTTGTGGACTTCAATCAGAAGATGTAGGTTAATGCCAGACTCAGCCATGTTCTTTCTGTTGCTTCTACTCACCCACCCTTGCCCCAGAGTCCTGACCTGCCTTCTCCACAGGGAGTCACAAAGTCAGGTGGGGGATGTGTGAGCCTAGTCTGTGTGCCACGCTATAGCCATCCTACCCAACTTGTGTTCAGCTGACTGCCTTCAGGGTTTTTCAGGTCCAAGGTCAGCAGTCCTAGGTTGTACAGAACTGCTCAGGGCTGATCCCGCCCTGTGGTGCTAGCGCTCCAAAGGAACAGGCACACCAGCTAACTTTTTTTGCCAGATACAGGGTCTGGCTGCATCCAGGCAGCTGTAACCTGCAAATCTGAGAAGCATTTGCTCAGGCCAAGCTCTCCAGCCTGGATGTTGGCCAGAGAGTGAGGGAAGGACCAGGGACTTTGGTTGCATGTTCTTTGTGAACCTTAAAACTTGGTATGTGGTTTAGACAGTACCTTTTCCATTTGTTTTAGAGAAAAAAGGAGGAGCAGCGGCAGCTAGCTCCTTCTGATGGTAGCACAGCTGCTTTGTCTGAAGGGAGAGCCTTTAGGGATACTTCCTCCTCAGGGCTCCATGAACCCCTGCTGAGCCATGTTTAAAAACCAGACCTGTTCCAAACCTGTTACTTTATAATTGAGTTAAGTCAATCCCAGTGAAGCGAAATGACTGCATAATTAATCATCGGAGACCAAGATGGGCACCCAGGTATCCTGATTGCTGGTACAGTTCTTTCCATACGGTTCCAGGCTGTGCGTGTCTTTCACCATATCCTATCTTCAGTGCTTCTTGAAATAGTCTTATCTACAATAATCCAGTTTCAAAATTTAGAATATAGTTAGTGTTCCTTGTATATATGTGCAAAGAAGACACCACTAACATTTTCACATTATGGCTAGACCAAGGAGTTCCTTTGTATACATATGTGTTAGTAATTATAGCATAATTCTGAAGCCAAACTGGACATCTGTGTGTGTTTTTAACATTGAATTGTGAAGAATGTTTGCTATAAGGACATTTATCACTTTTTAAAAATGTAATTAAATCTTCCTATTCAGAGCATGATGAAATTTTAACACTGAAAAAGTACAATGCTAGATATTTTATATTTTAAGTTATAAAATCAATTTAAATAACAGCATCTTCTGACTTAAGAACAAAGCTTCCCTTAGTCATTCTGATTTTCAGCCTTCCTAGAGATTCTGCTCCGAACAGGGTGTGTCTGAGCGCACAGTAGGGTCTCGGTGTGCTCCTGGGCCTTGTGTCTCTCCAAGGTTGTCGGGAATGGCTGGGCCTTCCTGGGTTTTGTGAGGCTTGGACACTCTTGAGACTTGGGGACTGGGGATTACCCACAGGAAGAGGGGCATAGGACCCCAACATACTTCATTGCTTCGCTAACCTGTTTACCTGCCTATTGGTTTGATTGTCTATTTGATTTCCTACTTACTGCCCCTACCACATGGTATGCTCCCAAACCAGAGACCTCATCTAATGTATTTGTTACTGTTTCTTTCTAAAACAGCCTCTGGGACACAGCTGATTGAAGTCAGAATGAAACAGGAGTGCAGGAATGGTTCAGCGTCCGTCTATGCTGTCCCAGGGCGCTCAGTCTGTTTGCTCCCCTTACTCAGTTTGAATCCCCTCTAACACTGATTGTTTATTGCTTAGATTGCCTTTTTCATCTTGAGGCACACATAAAGTAATTACTGAAGTTCTGCAGCACACCAAAAAAATACATGTTTTCTTGTCAGTCTGACAAAAAAAAAAGGTATAATTTTGATTCATTCACACTGGATGGCTATTGTTGTGTTGGCTGTTGTCATTTTTTGACAATCTAAGGGCAAAGAGGTCAGTGCCCCTGACTAGTCAGATATCACATGTTTTTAAATTCTTGACGTACAACTGTTCAAAATCGCTGTCTTAAACCATTCAGGTCTGTGCATTTATATTCACACAGCAAGAAGCACTGCACAAGGTTTCTTGTTAAATTAATGGTAACCATATCCTTTTATTTTTACCTGTCTCTGACGTTTAACTTGGCCAATTTAAATTAGTTAATGCTCCTGCATTCTGAAACTAGTTATAAATCTTAACTTTTTGTTCCGTAAGGTTCTTTTTCTGTTTTTAGCCACCTAGTATAAGCCTTGACTGTTAACTGTAACATTCTTTATCACATTGTTATTCTTTCTTGTATTGCAATCTCAAAATCCTAGCTATTAAGAGAGAAGGGTTTAGAGAGAAGGGCTTAGAAAGAATAAGCTCAAATGGGTAAATTGAACTTTCTCCTGTTGCCCAGGATGACCAAGGTAGGCCCTCAGGTACCTGATTTCTGGTGTAATTATTTCCTTATGATTCCAGCATATAAGTGTCTTTAGTGCTTTTTGAAATAGTTTTATCTGTAATCATCAACTTTGGTTGAATATGCTGGTTGCTCTCAATTTTATACGAGAAGTTAGTAATAATGAGAACACACATGCAAATCACATTTCCCAGATGCTTTTCACTCTGCGGTGCTCCTAACCGCCCTGTGAAGTGGCCTGGAAGGTTCCGAGGGTGGGGAGAGAACTATTGAGAGATTAAATAATTGCAGTTGAAGATTAGCGTAACCTTCAAAGGGTGCCAAGTTCCTAGTTGGGTGTTTTTCAAGACACAAAACTGATAGTAACAAGAGAAGTCAACACACTTTCTATATGTGTCTATCATAAATTATTTTAGCAATAAAGATAAAAGATCATTGCATAGTGAAAATTTTAATTATGCTTTTGATAGTGTCCAGTATATAGTGAATATTAATACCTTTTTTTTGAACTGAGTAAAAGGGTACATACACTTGAGGAAAATTAGGGGAAAGAAGATAGGTTCTAAAAATGACTGGTAAAGCAAAAATTTTCAAAAACTCATGAGTCAGGTTTACATTTGTAAGGGTGTAGTCAAGGATAATTAACTATGTTTTAAGCAAACTCCACTGCTTTCCATAAAATCTTTTGATCTTGAATAAAGAATAACAAGGGTGATCTTAATATACTGTTACACTTTTTAGATTTACAGAAAACTTTCAAAACAGTATGGAATTCATGTGTATCCTTATCCCAGCTTCCCCTGATATTAATAATCACATCAGTACCATAGTACAATTCTCAACACCAGGGAATTACATTACAGTAGTGTTTTAATTTCACACATGTAATTAATAGAAGGAACTAAAGCTAACTCAATAATTAAGTGTATTTATACCAATAATTGTTGCATAGGGTCTTAAAGAAAGTTAATATATTACTGTTTTAACTTTAGAATAATAAACAGAACACTTATTCATAAATTCCACCTGTAGTTTTTTCCTACCGTTCACTTCTTGGTCTTGTACCATAGCATACATAATTGTAAATGGACTTCAGATGTCCCCAGCTAATAGCAGTATTCACAGGTTGGTTGTAAAGGACATGCTTGTTTTGTTCCAGATCCTCCCAGTCTAGCTCAGCAGTGCATGGCATGCTATTCCCATGAGAAAAACTGTGCAGTGAGATGGCTTCTTTCTAGAGTGTGAAACTGAAACCTTTGCTAAATGTGCTAGGAAACTAAACCTTCTAGATATATTTTTGGTTGCTCATCTCTGAATCAGTGAATCATGTGGACTAGCATAATGCTACTGAATGTAACATGGCATGATGTCTCTCTTATTCATGATAAATGCTACTACAACAAATATATAAATACAGTTTATAATTGTATTTATACAGTTATAAATGTGGAATTATGTGATATTCTGTGGTTTAAGAACAACGCTTGAGTATGATCTTATGCATGAAAATGCGTAGGGTGATACTTCTCTTGTTTTGATGTAATTGTTTTCAAGATGAAGATGTTCCAGTGCTGAGTCATCCTCTTCTTCAGCATTGCAGATTTGTTCTGGGAGAATATTCCTAAGGAAACATAGACATGACAGTCAAAATGGCCCACGTAACATTCTGCCTTCGTAATTTAGGAGAAATTTTTATATTTATTTTAAAAAATTATTTTGTTGTTAAATAAAAGTAGATCCTTTTTATATTATATACCAGAAAAAGTTTAAAATACATCAAAGATCTAAATGTGAATAGATGAAGACAACTATGTAGTAGAATACAGAAAGCACGGCCATACCCTGGGAGCAGGGGTGGTCTTCCTACTTGTGACTTAAACTAGAAGCCCTGAAAGAGCTTCTAGTAAGTTGGCTCCTGGGTGTTTTAGAGAATGCACTAAAGACAGTGGCGAAGTAGATGAAGATCTTTGCAACTTTTATCACAGATTAAGGGCTCATATACAAAGGCCTAAAAATTGGGAAGGAAGGAAGAGAAAAAAAAGCGTAAGGTAACTAGTTCACAAAAGAACAAATGAAATGATGTGTAAACATGAAAAGATGCCCAGTTTCGTTCATGACAAGAGAAATGTAAATTGAAAGTATACTGGTATACCACCCTCACCAGATTTGCTACAAAAAACGTCCAAAAGCTCATCAACATGTTCTGACAATAAGGCTGTAAAGAACCAGATACCATTGAAAGGAATTCACTACAGGTAGAGCCCCATCCAAAGGATTTACATTATCTAGCAAAACTACAGGTGCATTTTATCACCCAGCAATCCCACTTTTAGGAATCTGTACCAAAGTTAGACTGGAAAAATACAAAACAATTGAACAAAGTTATGCATTGTGACATTTGTAGTAGTAAAAGAATGGAAACAGTAAAATTCCTATCAATAAGGAACGGGTTGAATTACATCTGAAAAGTGCAATACTATTCAGTTGTAAGAAGAAATTCTTTATATACTGATATGGAATGATACCCATGATATATTGGTAATTTTAAAAAGTAAAGGGTGAAACTGAACACACTCTGTAGAGAGGGGAAAGAAGAATCCTCTTTGTAATACACGTATAGTAATTACGGGAGAGGATGGGGAATTATCAGTATGTACGTATGTATGCTTATACTTGGTAAAAGAAATACTGGAAGCATAAAATAGAAATTAATTAAAAAATTTAACCTATGGGGAAGGACGGATTACAGTGTAAGGCACAGACATAGGAGAAAGGCTTCTTTTAATATACACTGTTAAACAGTTTTGACTTTGGAATCATATAAATGTTTAACAGTAAAAATAATATTAATCAAATAGAAAAGAACAATTTAAAAACAAAAAATAAAGACCTTTTCTGAGTATGTATTAAGTTGTTGACATATTGTTACAGATAAAATGACTATTTCAGGTATACATCCTTTGTGGAACGCACTCTAAAGACAAAGAGAACTGCCAAAACATCATAAACTTTTTTGTTGTTAGTCATAATAATGGTATGATGACTTTCAAACTATTGTTTATATATTGTGATACAAAAATGTAAGTAAATATTGTTGGGAACCTGGATTTTTCAGTGTAAGATAAACAAGTTTAAAACAATAGGAATACTCTTCATAATGTTAAATTTGAATTGGGACTGTCGGTATGAACTCTTTCTTTACAAAGTGCGTGTTTCTGACAGTGCACTTAAATTCCTCAAACAGTAACAACACTTTTGGGAAGAACATGCGTGGTGTGCGTATTGGGTCCTCTGAATACTATTCCCTTATGAGAGGCGCTGGGCTCTTGAAGAAAGCCTGGCGCGGGTGCACAGCAGGAAGCGGGGGTGAGCTGCCCGGGACTAGTGGAGGCCTCTCCAGGGCATAGCAGCCAGCTTGAAGGGCTGCCGTTGGCCAAAGACAGTACAGTTTAAGAGAAATAATTACAATTTATTGAAACATTCTGAATGTGTAAAACTGTAAGTTCATGTTGATTCTCCAGACAGAGATAGAAAGACAAAAACAAAATAAGAAAGCAGAAACACATAATCACCAATTAATTTTCCCCAGAGATAGCCACTATTAACATTTTAACATATTTTATAGTCTTTTTATTCATATGTAATGCATATACATATATGTAAATTTTCCAGTTTTATAACGATGTAATTGACATGTAATGTTGTATTATTTTAAGGTGTACAATGTAATGACCTGACATATGAGACGCTCCTGCTTTCTGGGCAGGAGTGTGTCTGTAGAAGTGAGGGAAGCTGAATCACTATAAGTTTATTTAAAATTTTGCCTTCAGAAGAATCTAGATAGAGGCGATTTTAATTTTAGCATGTTTAGATTTTGTGTTCTGCAGGTTAATGTGTTTATAATTATACATGAGGGTGGGAACAGCACCATAATATAATGCCTGATGCTTTATTTCACCCTGTTGTTAAGGTTCTAAGTATTATATAATACCCTACTTTTGAAAAATTTTACTATGGAAGCTTGCAGACATACAAAGTTAGAAAAAATATAATGAATTCTTATGTACCTATTATCTTCTAGCTTCAACAGTTATTAACATTTACCACTCATCCCTTTTTTCCTTAAAATAAATTTCAGACATCATGTCATGGTAGTTTAATCATATATTTTGTCAGTTGCAACAATTTAAATGGATACTTGAAAAAGCCAAAATTTACCGTATCTTGTTGTTGTTCAACCTCAGAAAATGTAATACTTTCATTTCTTGCACCCCTGGTGGTATAGATTGTAGGTCATTGTGATCCAGAAACAGCTCTCTTAGAGAGTGGTATGCCCCATAGAAGGAGACTCGGTCCACGCCGTCATCAGAGAGTTTGTTGAATGATAGGTACAAGTATTCCAGGCCCGGCTCCATGTGGCCAAACACGTAGCCAGGGATGCGCTCAATCCTGTTCCCCAGGAGCACGAGGTGCAGCAGCGACTTGGGGAGGTAGGAGGGGACCTGGTAGAGCTGGTTGTAGGAAAGGTCGATGGATTCTAGGTTTCTGCAGCAAAGGAAAGAGTAAACAAGGGGGACCATCAGGGCAGTGACTGTGAACTTGAGGTTATGACAGGGCCAGTCAGATGCTTGGTGATTTTCCTGCCAGCACTCGTGTGCAGCACACTGCCCGGTGTGGCAGTGTCAGTGTGGTGGCCTGGCTTCAGTATGTGTGCTCTTACCTGGGCACCACACAGCTGCTTGTGTTCTGTCAGAGAGGAGCATCAGTGTTCAGAGGGGTAATGGTGAGGCTCAAAGAGGTCCTCAAATGTGCCTAAGGTCAAACTTGAATCAGAAATGAGATCCATTAATCTGGCCAACATCAGACTTCGTCCCTAACCCTCCAGGGGCCCCAGCAGAGGAGTGGCCGTGTTGTGGGAATTTTGTATTCTCCTTCCTCATTTGATCCGATTGCCTGGCACCTGGGACACGAGAGAGACTAAGGGATCTAGAAAAGGTAGTTCACTGGCCACAAGATCAGGAAATATGAGCTACCCGGCGGTTTCAGGAGCCTCACCTGCCAAGACTGCTCCTGAGGAAGACTCACTCCCCTTCCACCATGGCATACTGCCAAACCCAGGGAGCCCCCACTCCTCTTCCATCTTGTTCCATCCTGCTTCTGAAAGAAACCTTTCCTGGGCTGTGCTAGTCAGATCCCTTGTTCCCTTGCCACGTGTTCAACCTGCTAACAGGGTTCAACCCGGCTTTCCCACATGGCTCATTCTCCGCTCCTCACCAGCAAGGCCTCCACACTGGCCCCTTCAATGAGGGCTGCAGCCTGGGGCCACAAATTTATCTCCAGGAAGATGGGGTCTGCTGTTAGCCCAGGCCATCAGGCCAGGCAGCCCCCAGGCTATTTTGTAAGACTTGAGGGAGGGAAATCCTTTGGAGGACTGAAGACAGTGTGGCGTAGGACAGTGAAGCCTGGTGCTTTCATCGAAGGTGGGAGGTGGGGGGGGGGCAGGTTTCTTCTTCACTCTGTGCAAGGGATTAACTCACTTAAACTTCATGACTGCCCTGTGAGACCCACAGAGTGAAGGTGTCGTGGTGGTCAGACCCGTGTCCCTGCTCAGGCTCGGTGGCTGGCGCAGCACCTGCCTGTGGTAAGGTGCCCACAGCAGTAGTGCCTGGGGTCACCCTAACACCAGCCATATCATCAGTGGTTTGAGTTCCATGAAAGAGGCTAGGTTCTAGGGAAGGGGGAGGTTCACTAAGAAAGGATGCTCTCACCTCCTTCATGTCTCCACCCATGTTCACCCCTCTTCAGTAATGGTAAAGGGAGGAAATTGAACAAGTCTAGTTATAGCATATACTTACTCTTGGTTTATCCAGGCTAAAGGTGCAATCCTATTTTCTTCAATTTTATTGTAACATAGTACAATGACATTGATATTTCTGGTATGATTGAAACAAATTTCAGTTATCTCTTCAATTTGGTTATTTTCTAGGTATAATTCCTATAATTAAGAAAAGACATTTTTTTTCTTGTTGATAAAATACATTCAGTTTTACAGATATTAAAATGGTATTGTAGACATTTGTAATACTTTCAACAATAAATTTTTAAAAACAGTATTGTAAACTATTCTTTGTAGTATTATCTAGAGAGTTTTACTACTCCTCCAAGTGAGTTCATTCTTTAAGTTGTCAAATTTTCTAATTAGAAAAAAATGTATTGTCTGTCATTTTATTTAGTTATTTTTCACATAAAATGTTGCAATATACATACAGTATGCCATAATAACTGGATAAAGCTTTCCTAGTTTACAAAATTCATTCATATAAATTATTTCATTTGACTTCAAAACCCTAGGAAAAAGGTAGGAATCAGGCCTAGAGACATGCAGAGCCATCCCTGGGTTGCACAGTGATGTGTGAAGAGAGCTCGTCCTGGCTTGGCCCCACCAGTTCATGCTGTCTGTAATATTTTTAGGTTCGTGTTTTTGTACTTGATTTTGTATTGAAATTAATTTCGTTAGAAGTTAATTAAGAACTTTCATTTAATGTCAGGGTGAAGTTTACTAGAACTTGAAGTAAGTGTTCAGCAGCTAGCTGTCTTCAAGTTCATTCACTTGGCATCAGAGAGAGTTTTTCACTCAACAGGGATCTTGTTGGAGTTCAGAAGTAGAATAGGTATGTATCTTCACTATAACTTTTGTAGTAATTTCCCCCTTTGTCACTTAATTTTGGTATTTATTAGAAATAGGTAAAGAGATTTTTAGCCTTTTGCTTTTGCCTTCATATGTATTTTGGGGTAAACTAGATCAGTGGTTCCCAAACTTTGTAAAGCACAGTCACTTGTGAGCTGTTGAAAGTGTGAAATGTACCCCAGTCAAAGCACAGTCATCCGTACATTGAACTGTGCGACTCTGGGGCTGTGCCCCGGATGGAATCAGAGCACAGCGCCGGGGTGGGCAGCGCCCCCGTGGGAGTGGGGGAGGCCCTCTGGAAAGAGAACCAGAGAGGAGGGTCCGGTGTGTGCGCACACGCCTGGGTGCGTGCGTGCGTGCGCGCTTTACTGTGTGCATCAGTATGTATGGAAATTTTTAATTTTTAAAGATGTTACAAATTGCTGACTCCACCATACAAAGGACCTCAGTTAACACATCTGGAATAAGTCCAGGAGTCTATTTCTTTAGAATCCAAGTGGTTGTGATGTCAAGCCAGGTACTGGCACCTTGGTCTTTACTATTTTGATACATTCTGATGTTAAATCTTAATCTGCAAATAGGAGAAAGAGGAAGGTGGTGGCTGTGGCAGCAGCATCAGGTGACCAATGGCCCCCTCTTGGCTGTGAGAAACTTCGTCCTTCTTGCTGGGTGATCGTGCGCATGGTAGAAATGGAACTCAGAGGAGGTGGCCTGGGTGTCAGCGGGGTCTGCGAGACCTCCGTGTCCTTAGTGCAGGAAGTTGGGGTGTGCACTCAGTAGCAAAGGCCACCAAGAGTCCCCCTTAGTTAAGCATGTTCCTTGCTGCAGCAAAGGAGGTCACACACCTCAACAGTAGGGGCATCTCCAGAGGGTAGAAACAGGACGACATTTGGGCCCTTGGTGGGAGCTGGTCACCACTGGTAAGTTGGGGGGCTGCCAGCACAGTCGTCAGCCTTCTCTATAGATTGCATCCATCCATGCACGGCCACTGCTAGTTTATGTGGGATTCTGGGCGGAGCAGACTGGGATGACTGTCACAGTTCCTGTTTGGGACAGTTAAAACTATCTTGCAAGTCAGGGTACTTTTTGCAAGTTGTAGTTTTTAAATTTTTAGTTCATTTTCCTAGTCTCTCCTGAGGAGCTGTCAGCATGACCGTTTATTACTTTTTTTAAGGGTCTTTACTCATAATTATAACTTTGATTCATAATTTTATGTAATTTGAAGAGAAAACTGTTCAAATTATAGTAAGTTCTATATACAGCATTAAAACTAACAAGTTTAATATGCATCACAGTAATCTCTTAAATATATTGTTTGGGGTTTTTTTGTAGCATACTTTATTTAAAATATAAAACATTAGAAAAAAGATATTGGTACCTCAATAGAAGCAGGAAGACCCTGTGGTATAATTCTAAATTTATTTTGTCCCAAACGCAGGTAGGATAGGCTCTTCAAAGGTTTGAAAGCTAAAGGATTGACATTGGTCTCACTGAGATTGTTTCCTTCCAGTTCTAAGGTAACCAACCGACTTAATCCTATAAAAAAATAAAATTATTGGGATATTAGGATAATTGGAAAACCATACAATTTCTATAACCTTTCAAAATGTCATGTGAAATGTTCAGTTTATTTGGAGGGCAGATGTAGCTTCTTTCTTTGTATCTCTGTAGAGGTTTTTCCCAAGTACTTTTCACATTCTAAATACTCAGTGCAGCCAAGACTGAGCCTGAGTGCATGGTCCTTGGAGAGGCAGGCTTGTAGAGAAACCATCGTGCTGTCTGGTCAAAGTGTGTACTCTAAGGGATGGGAGCGGTGGTAGTTCAGGGGTGAGCAGGGTGCCCCACAGAGGCAGCAGTAGCCAAGCAGGGACTTGGAACGCAGCTGGGCAAAAGTAGAAGGTTGTGGAAGGTCCTTTGAAGCATTTGTGGAGATAAGTAGGTATGAAATGGAAGCATAATTGGGGATGGACCAGGAGTATAGTGCAATGAGGGTGCCTTTTCCAGGACAAAGGAGGAGCGTGCTTTGCCTGGAAAACCCCATTTCTGAACATGCAGCACTGAATTTCCACCACAGTGTTCACTTCCTGGAGCGGATGCAACCAAGTGGGCGTTTGAAAGGAAAATAATCAGAAGCTCTCCACACGCTCAGACTGTGCGACCAAGAGAGGCCTTTATACAAGCAAGTTTTATCCACATTATTTCTACGGCCTCAAGAGTGGAATGATCCAAACTAATCAGAATCTTAAAGAGGACTGGGCGGCTCGACGAGAAGATGGAGGTGGGACGCGTGTGAGGGTGAGTGTGTGTGAAAGAGCATGTGTAGAAGTGTGCGAGTGTCTGTCTGTGGGGACTAGCTGGTGGTGCTGTGGGCCCACTGCTGCCACCACCGCCGCTGGCTGGGCGCTTCTCGCTTGCAAGTTTGCAGTGCGTGCCATTTTGGGATATTTGCAGAATCTTGGTTGCCATCAACAAATCAATGCACAACAAGTGCTGGTGTGAGTGAGATAGGGGAACCCTGGTACACTGCTGGTGGGTGTGCAGATGGGTGTGGAAAGCAGTGTGGAGATTCCTCAAAAAATTAACTATGGAACTGCCATTTCATCCAGTGGTCCCACTTCTAGGAATATATCCTAAGAACCCTGGGACACCAGTCAGAAAAAACATGCACCGCTATGTTCATAGCAGCATAATTTGCAGTAGCTAAGATCTGGATACAGCCCAAGTGCCCATCAGTAGATGAGTGGATAGAAAAGCTGTGGGACATTTACACCATTGAATACTATGCAGCTGTAAAAAAGAAGGATCCCTTACTCTTTGAGACAGCATGGAGGGATCTGGAGAGTATTATGCTGAGTGAAATAAGCCAGGCAGAGAAAGACAAGTACCACATGATCTGACTCATATGTGGAATCTAATGAACAAAATAAACTGATGAACAAAATAGATCCAGAGACATAGAAGCATGGAATAGACTGAGGGGCCTCAGAGGGAAGGCGGGGGTGGGTAGCTTGGAAGAGATTAACCAAAGAACTTATATGTATATATGCATAACCCACGGACACAAACAAGTGTGGTGAAGAGATCAGTGGGGAAAAAAGGGGGGGACATTTGTAACACTTTCAACAGTAAAGATAAAAAAAAAGAAATGAAGATACAAAGAAGGGGAAGCATATACTGTGTATGTGGATTAGAATTAACATCATTAAAATGTCCATACTACCAAAAGGAATTTATAGATTCAACGCAATCCCTATTAAAATACCAATGGCATATGTCACAGATCTAGAACAAATAACAATCCAAAAATTTATATGGAACTAAGAAAGTCCCCCAATAGCCGCAGCAATCTTGAGAAAGAACAAAGTTGGAGGGGTCACAACTAGACTACAAAATCCATTGTAATCAGCACCGTGCTACTGGCACAGGAAGAGGCATATGGATCAATGGAACAGAGCAGAGACCCCAGAAATCGACCCACGCCATTATGGTCAATTAATATTTGACAAAGGCAAGAGCATACAATGGAGTAAAGACAGCCTTTTCAGTAAATGGTGCTGGAAAAATTGGACAGGTACATGCAAAAATATGAAACTAGTCTATCAATTTACACATACACAAGAAAAAACTCAATTGACGAAAGACTTAAATGTAAGTCACGAAACCACAAAAATTGTAGAAGAAAACAGGCGGTAAAATCTCAGACATCTTACCTAGCAGAATATTTGCTGATACAGCTTCAAGGGCAGGGGTGGGGAACCTTTTTTCTGCCAAGGGCCATTTGTATATTTGTAACATCATTCACGGGCCATACAAAATTATCAACTTAAAAATTAGCTATGAAAAAAGCTCCTAGATTTGTTGACTTTCAAGTTCCACCTGCGGTTGCCTTGGCAAGGCCAGACCCAATGATTTCACGGGCTGCATATGGCCTTCAAGCTGGACATTCCCCACCCCTGTTCTAGGGCAAGAGAAACAAAGGAAAAAATAAACAAATGGGACTACATCAAACTAAAAAGCTTATGCACAGCAAAAGAAACCGGCATCAAAATGAAAAGGGAGCCCACTGTATTGGAGAACATATATCAAAAATATATAGGGAACTCATACAACTCAATAAAAGGAAGACAGTCTAATTAAGAAAGGGGCAAAGGACCTGAATAGACAATTCTCTAAAGAGGACACACAGATCGCCAAGGGTATATGAGAAATTGTTCAGCGTCACTCGTTGTCAGAGATGCAAATTAAAACCACCATGAGGTATCACCTCACACCTGTCAGAATGGCTCCATCAACAAATCAACAAATGACACATTCTGGCGAGGGTGTGGAGAAAGGGGAGCCCTGGTGCACTGCTGGTGGGAATGCAGACTGGTGCAGCCACTGTGGAAAACAGTATGGAGGGTCCTCAAAAAATTAAAAATGGAGCTGCCTTATGACCCAGTGGTCCCACTTCTAGGCATATATCGTAAGAATCCTGAAACACTCATCAGCGCAGTTTACAATAGCCAAGGTCTGGAAACAGCCCAAGTGCCCATCAGTAGATGAGTGGATAAAAAGCTGTGGGACATTCACACACACGGAATACTACACAGCTGTGAAAAAGAAGGACATCTTACCTTTTGAGACAGTATGGAGAGACCTGGAGGGTATTATGCTAATCGAATTAAGTCATAGAAAGACAAGCATCACATGATCCCACTTATATGTGGAATGTAATGAACAAAATAAATGATGAAAAAAATAGTTCCAGAAGCATGGATACATGGAAAAGACTGAAAGATCTCTGGGGTTGGGGGAGTGGAAAAGATTAACCAAAGAACTTATATACATATATGCATAACCCATGGACACAGACAATAGTGTGATAAAGTCCTGGGGAAGGGCAGGTGCTGGCTGGAGGAGGGTAACGGGTGCAAATGGGGGACATCTGTTATACTCCTACAATTTTTTTAAAATTATAAAAAGAATGGGCAGCTCAGCAGTAATGATTGCCAGAGGTGTCTGAGTCAGACATTCAGGATGTAACTTTGGGGTTTGTTCAGTGGTTAAGATTTCCAGAATAGGGGCCGTTCTCATATTCAACTCAAGTCATGACCATTGCCCTAAGTGCTCTGTGCAACGCATTTCTTACTTTCAGGCCTATCAGAGAAGCAAGAGTACGTAGCACAGACGCCGGAAGAGAGCACAGAGGAGGCAGCAGTGTAGACTTGATTGTAACGCAGTGTGAGCAGGGCTCAGCGGGTGGTGTTGAGGGTCAGTTGAAGGGCTGAGAGAAAGAAATGAGGGAGGCCAACCAGCACACTATAATAAGTGATTATATTTCCTCATATTCTCTTTAATTTTCAAAACAAGATCCTGAGAATACAGCACATTTATCTAGTATGAAATTCAGGTTTGGGAATATAATAGAAGTTTTCCAGTCAAAACAGATAATAGAAGTAGACTAATGGTTATTTTCTGACCTCAGAAGAAACATCATACACAATACAAACTTATGATACTATGAATCACTTTGCAGTATCCTCTCATTTATGTGTATACTGTATGCGTAGGAAACACGGTATGTGTGTTACTGTACGCAGCAGGAGACTGGATAGAGTTAGAAGAGATTAAAAGGTTCTTGCAGGAGAGCGGGGTAGGAGTGTTTGTTAGCGGGGGCGGGTGGGAAGTCATTCCCGGTGGGCGGGTGTGAGATGTGCACAGGCATTGTCAGGCACATCTGGTTTTCTTCTGCCGTCCCTCCTTTCTACCCTTGCACTCCTCCCCCTCAATGATACGACCCAGCTTTTCTCCCAAGTGGGTATGCAGGTCCGTGCGTCCCGGGCGAACTCCCAGTGTCCTGGCACAGCCTGCGCAGCTCCTCCTTGGCTGATTCCTGCCCACCCCTTCGTGCCTCCTGCTGCTGCTCAGGCCCCTGCACCCTGCACCCTGGACTGACCGGTGAGGACGGCATGCCGTCCCTGTGGCACCGCGCTCTTTCATTTCTTCGTGCGTTTGTACATGCTGCTTCTCTCCCTGAGGTGTCTGTCTTCCCCCTTCCCTGGAACTGTACATAACCTGCCATGAGAGATAGTAGAAGAACAGCAAGCCACTGACAGCCCTGCCGGCGGCTTCCACCTTGGAAGCGCAGTGGCACAGCCCTGGCGCTGGCCTTTTCTCGGCTCACACTGCTTACTGCCGCCAACCTGACCATCGAGGGCAGCAAGACTCACAGGAGCTGAGGAGCCTTAGAGGCTGCAGCAGTTATGAGAGAACCCAGCACCTGAGTGGTTGGCACTGGAGCAGGCCTCAGAGCAGCCCACACAGAGCAGGAGCCGCCCGCACCGCGAGTGCAGGGGCCCTGTGGGGATGCGGCAGTTCACCCGGGCCCACAGCGAACCCGCGTGTGGAAGCATTTGGGCAGGAGGGAGAGCAGAGGCAGCTGCGGGGAGGTGTGAGCCTTTGCTAAATATAGACTTAGGTTTTATAACGTGTCCTCTGACAGCACAAATAGGACTGTGCTCACATGTAATTCACATACAGCCCCTTAGTACACTTCTTCTAAATTAAGTGTTCCTTTGGTCTGTTCCAGTTTCTGGCGGTTAGAAATGGGACTTTCTAATGTGTTTTCCATATGACAAAGCTCACCCAGCCTTGTGTGTGCTATGTTTCCTGTGTACCCTGAAGTCCACCTGGAGACAGTATCTCCATAACCGTGGCGTCCTCAGATTTGGCAGTGCTCAGTATGATTCCTTTCCCCATCATTAGAAATGGTTTCTTCCTATGAAGTGTTTTGGGAGTGAAAGGAAATAATTGAATCATTTTATTCCTTTAAAGCCTTGGGTTATCAAGGTACATTAACATGATAAATGTATTCCAGATGAAATACAAAGTGTTAGCAGCATACCTCGAGAGGAACGCTCAACTGTTAGGAAGGTAAAACAAGAAATTAAGCCGTCTTTGTCTTCAAGAAGAGTTTAATCAAAGACATGAACTAGAATTCATGAAAAGCTAGATGTAACACTGCCTCTTTTATACATAGTTCATAATATGACAGCTTCAGCTATCCAGCTTAGTCCAGAAACAGCCATACGAACAGTCAGTTCTAGGTGTGTCAGATGCATGGAATGTGGGGCGCTGTCACTAAAGCCCTTGCGTAGGAAGGCCAGGCCGGCACAGCAGCCACACGGGCAGCCAGACACCCATGCGTGTTGTCCATTGTGTGCTGTGGCCAGAAGTGCCAGAGCGAAAGAGACTGCCACGGACTGCATGTGCGAACGTTACTGTGCCCCTGACTCCTGTCGGATACATAATTCTCATATGCCAGCACATGGCAGACTACAGTAGCAAAATGTGTGGAGGCAGCGGAGCTGTGGCGTATTGAGCATCTAAGGGGGATACAGGAGGCAGTCCGCCAGCCGTGGCGCAGCGCCATCGCCACCAACCCCCACCAGGACCATAGTGCAGATGGCACCAGCCCTTGGCTCTCGAAAGTGCAGCTCGGGACATGACGGGTTTGGAGGTCAGTGACTGTTGTAGATGACTGAGAGTTTCATTTCCTTTTAGAGTACATGTTAGGACAAGGGGCAGTTTAAAATACATTTTAAGAAGTTTCACCAGTCAGTGTTAAAATAAGGTGTATCAGCTTACATGGTAAAGTGACCTAAGGAACCTTGCTAGCTGTTCATTTGGCGATACTTCAAGTGAAATTCCCACACGACTGCAAGAGAAAGGTAACAAGGCCCCAGACCCACATGCTCAGTACCTGATAAACTTGCTTCATCGATGGCCCGGAGGTGGTTCTCGCTGACTCTAAGCTCTTCCAGAGTAGGTGGTAGCTCTGAAGGGATCTCCCCCAGGTTGTTTCTGTCCATATTCAGCTGCACTAGCTTCTTCAGGAGCTTAAAAGGCAAAACTGAAAGTTACGCTTCCAGCTGGTCCCAGGTGTACAGTAGCCATCTCACTGAGCGGTTTGCTGTGGTTGCGTCTCACAAGCCTGCACTTGCTCGGGTTTAGACCAGTTCCCCACTCTCCCTGCCAGGTAGCTGTTGGTCCTGCCAGTGTTCACTCCCAGCATTTTCAGCACGCCCCACTTGGGGACTTTGTATGTCACTCACCCGTACTTATTTGTCACACGTGATTGTGGCCTGTGTACGTAAACAAGAGAGAGCTGCTGTGGCCACTGGGTTGATTGTATTTCGCTAGATCTTAGGTTTTCGCCTTCTCAGCGGGAGACACACAGTTAACTAAATCATGTGGTAAACCGAATCTGTCCTGGATGCTGAAAGTAGGACAGCAATTTGAATTGTCAGGTATTTGTAAACCTCAGTTTTCTATGTTCATTAAGTAGAAGCAGAATTATAACATAGCACTAATTATAGTGGAAATTCTTCAAAATTAAGTGGTACAAGCATCATAAGCTGTGCTCTGCGGTACCCAAGCAGTTTCAGCTGTGGGAAGTGCATCCCCACCGCTGAAGTTGCATGCGCGTTGGGTGGACTGCCCGCGCTGCCAGAGCAGAGTACTATGGGGGGGACAGGTCTCGGTGAGGCCCTGTGAGTGACTCACTTCAGTGGTGCTCAGAGTCCAATTACAGCAGGCTGGGAATGGGACAGGAAACCCCAAAACAAGAAAAGAAGGTGTCTTCCTTTTTGATCAAATACAGGAAGTCATGAGTCCCATGTTTCGATCAGGAGGATGGCTAGTGTGAGGCCAGCCCTGTTGGTCTGACTTACATGTGGACCTCCCTCGCCTTCCAGCCCAGAATCTGACAGAACCAGGGGTGATCGCACAGGTGCCCAGCAACTTGTCCAGGAGTGGACGGAAAACTGTGCAAGGGGATCAGGTTTGACCGAGTGGGATGTAGTATGTTCTACTTGGGCTTCTTAAATCGCACACACTTATGTGTATTTGTTACACATACAGACCCCTCCTCTTTTGCTCCTGCATTTGGTTCTCTGAAATTCCCTGATCCTCTCTCCTCCTTCTTAGAGAAAAAAAAGTGTCAAATCTGTGTCTCTCAGAAGTTTTTCTGTGCTGTTTCCCGCCTTCTTCCCTCTTTCCGCCAGATTTCGTCTGAGTCCACTTGGTTTCCAGAGCCCCTCTTGCTGAAGCACCATCCCTTCACCAGATGTTGCCCCTGCACAGAATGGGGCAGCTCTGACTGCTGGCCTCAGAGGGCTCATCAGTTTCCAATAAAGCTGTCCTCTCTTCCAGGAACTCCTCATGGACTGAGACCATGTTTCAGCATGCTTTCAGCTACTGGGGGAAAACTACTCTGTAAATTTTAAACATTTGTTGTGTCATTAATGCTGTTTTTGGTGTCCTAAGGGTGTGAAGCACAGAAAAACTAGCCAGAAACATGTGACACAACAGACTGTATTCAATATAAAACTTCAGTACAGCATAGGGACATGAGGGAAGAAACTTTCTAAACTTAGAATACTACCAGGTAAAGCAGTTGACTTTTTCTCCGTTTCCCATCTCTGCCCACTGCCTGTGCAAGTCATGGGGAAGCTGTATAAATAGACTGTTACTCACAAATCAGCGCGTGTTTACCTTGAATGCTTTTGGACCTATGCCTGAAGAGCTGATATTATTTTTGCTCAAATCAAGCCTTTCCAAATTCGGTAATCCATTAAATGCTTCATCTGGAATGGAGGTGATGGAATTGCCTAGGACACGGAGCAGTTGTGTTTTAGATATATGTGCCAATACATGTACACATGTGTCTGAATGCACACACATACATACATGTGCACTTGCACAGACAGCAAAAGAGTTTTATCTGTAGGAGAAAGCAATACTCATAGCATGGGCAGAACCCATACCATATAAGCAAACACACATTTAGAGAAGTAGCAAGGCTGGGACTAAGCTGCTCCCCAGGCAGCATTTTCGCTCTGAGGGCTCGTGCTCTGATGTGTCATGTATGGGTAAAGCTGCGTAATACAGCCAGAATGTGGTTAGTGGGACAGTTCTGTTAGCATTGTGCATTTCATAACAAAGACTATTTCTGGAAGGTAATGCAGAAACTGATTTTTGGAGTTCTTTATCTTTTCCCACTGACATTTCTTAGACTCTGGTTCAGAATCATAATACTATTATTAATTAATGAAGTCTTGGGCATGTCCGCTTCAGCCTCTAAATAAGCAACATGAAGAGATACTCTCTCAGATCGCCTGCAGATCTAATGTTTTACTTCTATGACTGTAATCTACACAAGTCCCTACATGCCTCACATTTATGGGGCTTTATACATGTACATTTAAGTATAGGAGTCAGTGGTTTTAAACTCAGAAAATGAGCTTCCCAGAAACAGTGAGTACTATGTAAACCACATGTGACCTTGTAAAGCTACGATAGTGTGACTGAGCACAGGTCATTCATCTGTCACAAGACTGTAGACCTGCCGCAGAGCACACCTGGCGTGTAGGCCCAGGAGGGTGTTGTTGCACAGGAGTCTCTGGGTATACGAGGAGTTCCTCTGGAGGTCACAGAGTGTGGTGTTAGCAAGGCCATGACACCGCTGGTGTCCACACAGGCTGGCCACCCTGAACAAAGGTGTCAGACTTTTTCTATTGAATATTTATATGATCATTTACTATTTCTATGGTAGTTTATTTCTGTGATTTCCCCTGAGGCACGCCTGAAACCCCCTTCAGATACTTTTGCCCCTGCATCTGCAGGGCAACCCTCTCATGGGCCTTGTCACCCGGTCTGTTGGCCCATTCCCCCTGCCAGCCAGTCTCACACCCAACACCTGGTCATGCTCTTCCTCCACTCAGCCTTCCTGGGTGGCCCTATAAAAACATGCCACCAGAATGGCTACCGTGAGGGGATAGCTGGCGGGAAGCAGGATGGGGGCCTCTCTGATGTTGCTGCGGCAGGGACTCCTGATCATTTCTTACAAAGCTAAATGTGCATTTACTGTGTCCCTCCAGGGAAAGAAAGCTTTGGTCCATATAGACATCTGGATGTGGGTGTTCATAACAGCTGTACACATCGTTGCCCCAAACTGGAGATGACCCAGATGTCTTTTAGCTGGTGCCTATGGTTCATCCAGACAACCACTCAGCAGGGTAGAGGGGCAAGATACTGATAAAATGCAGCAACCTGGATGGCCTCACAGCAGTGTGAGGAGAGGAGGAAGCCCAGCTGAAAAGGCTATGTATTGGTGATTCCAATTCCCAGCGTGCTGGGAAAGGAAAACTGTAGACCCAGATCACAGATCACATCCTGGTGGCAGGGCCTGTGACGGGAATGAGGGAGGTGATGGAAATGATCTGTACCGTGATTGTGGCAGTGGTTACCTGACTATATGCATGTCTCAACACGCAATAACGTGCTACAAATAAGTTTTACTGCATACAAGTTCTACCTCAGTAAAGTTGACTTCAAGAAAGAAGTCCGCAGGAATCCTGGTTTGATTTGGAGGAATCTGCTTTATACCTAATTATGCTACACTGTAGTATACCCTGCCTCTTCTGCAAAGTTTATGTTTGAAGATTGTGGAAATAGTCTGGAGTTCATTTATATTATAAGATTGAAGTTAACATTCATAGGGCAATGAGAGTTATTTACTTTTAAAGTAAAACAGACATCAGCATCTCTTACCAGCGAGCTCCAGCCTTGTTACCCTGGGTGCTGTTAGCGGTGGTATCTGTGTGAGGCCAGCGCCCTTGCAGCTGATGGTCCTGTAGGACAAAGAGCACCCGCTGGGCAGAGGCGGCCTGCCCCGGGGAGGGCGGGGGGCCGGGTGCGGGGCCGGGTGCTCCT